TTTTTAAAAGTACTTTTCAAGAAAGAGCAGTTATTAATATTGGATTATGTTCGCAATTGCAGTAGTCTTTCCCAGATGTATGTTATTCTCATAAGGAGGTGTTTGAAGTAAAAGCAAATAGGTCATATGGTGAACAATATGGATTATGAAGCTTTTATCTTTGATTTTCTTAAGTCTATGACCTGCAAAAAAGTACGATAATATATCATATAATCGCAATTCAATCGGCAATCAAAGTAAATATTTATTCATTTTGTTATAAAAATATCACGAACAGCTGGAATGAAAATATTAAAAAAAAACATTTTTATTATGTTGTTTTTTTTCGATTTATCTATTGACAATCAAGGCAAAACGATCACAACATAATGAAGAGGAAAATTTAAGAATATTTTTATTTATTATATCATAATACGTACATAAACAAATAGTTTTACAATCAAAATAAACTGTACGAAACTTTATTTTACATTGAAATTAACTTGTTTTTCGATTAATGGATCAAAAAAAAGTGGTAAGGTAACTAACATGATTCCTGTCGTCCATAACCATCCTGCTATTTTTCCTGTTAAAGTATTTAATTTTACTGGTAACTGTATAATAACTTCCAATAATACCAAAAGACTATGTATCCCGAAGAAAATCATATATTTACCAGACCATACATTATAGGTAAACCATAGAACATATTCATGTATAAAACCTGATAATACAAAAGCAAGAAGACCTTTTGTTGTGTTATTCAATGTTATTATGGGATTGATTAGATTTGGAATAGCAACAAAAGAAATAAGATGAAGTGGTTTTTGTACTAATTTATTCCATCGACGAGACCAAAATTCTCGAAGACTTGTAGCAGCGAAAGGAAATTGAGGAAAAACACGTTTCATGTGAAGATTAAAAGTCAAACTATAAATACCAAACATAATGCTGGTAAAAAAGTCAATTAATAAATATAAAATAATACTGAATAAACTACAGCGAATAGAATGAACTATTGGAGATAATAATGATGGAGGAAGTGTGAACCAATCATGAGGTATTAAATAAAACAGAATTTGAAGAATAATAAATTGACAAATACCTCGAACAATGGACGCAATACTTTCTTGTCGTATAGTTTTTCTAGATGGTTCGATTGATTTCGTTTCTGAATCCGGCATTGATGGTAAAGCAATTAAATATACAATCGCTAGTTTCGATGGAATTTGTTGAATATATGTCCATTCATAACTAAATGCTAATTCGAAAAATTTAAATGTTAATAGAATAGTTGATGAACCAAGGACAAGAATCGATTGTGTATTGAGAACAGAGGATGACGATCGTTGTTTCAAATAGATAGGTACAAGAATCATACTGATAGAACTAAGAATCGAAATAAAATAAAAAAGACGTGGTGTATTCATATATTGACAGATACGAAGGCTAATAATGAACATAATAAATATAAAAGTAGAAGATAAACAAATAATGACGGAGGTATTGTCGAGCATGTTGTTAAAATATTCACAAGAATAGAATGAAATTTTATCATACTTGTCGTTCTACTGATAAGTGCTTTGAAAAATGTAAAGTTGACCAAGTACATAAGAGCATGCAATTGTGATAATAAAAAGAACAAATGAATAGAGGTTATCGTTCATTTTTAAATACAGAATGAACAAAAAAGATATCTTCTTACAAAAACTTATCTCTGTATATAAAACTATTTACAAGTAAAAACGTACTCTAATACTCGTTCTTCTCTGACATTTATTAATAATATTGCTTAACAAGAATGATACAAAAAAGCGTGTATATATAAATTGCCTCTTTTCAATATTGCCATACGTTTCGTTTGTATTTCATGTCGTTTCTATTAATTCTTGCACATTTGTTTCGACTGATCTCTCATTTTCTTTTACTGAATACCATTTATGAACTGGAATTGCTTGTAATTGATGCATCATACGCCAAGTTATTAATAAAAAAATAATGCCAATAACTGTACAACCAATTAATTCAATTGAGTAAGCATGTTTCTCTGGTAACCAGTTTGCGATATAAAGAACAGCACTATTTGATACACTTTGACCAATATTACCAACTGTACTGACCAATGTCATATATGTTCCTCCAATACGTGGCTCACTAACTTGAGCATAGAAACCAACACGAGCAACAAGTTGTAAATAGATAATTGTTTCATGGATAATAAAGAGAGTAATTAGAATTGAATAAAATACATAAGGAAATTTAACAAGTTGTGGAGTAAAATATATATAAATACCAATTAATAAACCAATCAAGAGTCGAGGTGGATATAATCGAGCAAACCATATTAAAGGTCGATGCGTTTGAGATAGAATAAGTGGAACAATTATTTTAACTAAAATTAGTGGCATTGTAATAAGACCATAGGTATCACGTGACATACCATGACTAGAAAAGTAAAGAGAACGTCAATGTTATTTTATAAAGTATTAATAAAATTTTACTTACTTATTCAAAGCAAGATTAGTCATATAATAAGTTGCTGCATAACCAAAAGGACAAATTATAAGTATAAATGCGAACTTTAACATACATGGTTTTTTTAAAATTTTAATAATAGATAAATATGTATCAATGAATTTTAAGGTTTTCTTCACATCAGTTTGATTTGATGTATGATGACGAAATAAAAAAGCTATAATACAAGTAACAACAAGAAAGGCAATACCCCAGAAACGTACGAATTGAGCTAATGTAAAGAGTCCTGTATCATGCGTATGAAGTGATAATGGTTGACGAATGTAGCTATTGGTAAAATTAGCTGATTCAAACGTCAAAAGAAATGATGATCCAAGAAAACGTCCAAGCGTCTGTCCAATAGTCTGTGAAGTTGATTGCCAAACAACATTCGATGAAGCAAAAAGTGTCAGAGCCCATCCATCGACACATATATCTTGACTAGCAGTAAGAAATAGAACGAAAAAAACGAAGATCGACAATGGAATAACACGTAGATTTTTAATAAATGGTTCGATATAGAATGAAAGAACAATCAAAGCAATGCCAAGTATAATTTGAATCGGTAATAACCATGTTTGACGTCGGCCAAAACGTTGAATATAAAAGACATCAATTATAGGAGCCCAGATTAGTTTTAAACTAAATGGATAATGAACTAAACTATAGATGCCTTGTTGTTTCCATGCACCTTCTTTCGTAAGATAAAGAGGAATAGATGTAGATAAACCAAGAATAGCACCTTGTAAAATATACAAAACAAGTGTAACAATAATGCTTGTAAATGGAGCAGTAATAAACATCTAAATGAAACTATAATTGAATATTTCAAACCAAGGAAATATAATGATCTTTTTCGCGAAAGCTTTACTATTAGTATCGACGAACATCTGTCTTTCTTCGGGTATTATATATATATCTATGTCGTATGTATCATCTGTATGATAGAACAAAGTAAAGAAAAAAAAATACATACGTATAAATGAATTATGCTTACAATGAAAAATAATCTAACATAAAATTTGACATACTAAGTCACATTCCAAATATTATACACTAGCAGAGGTATGTTTTTATCTTTTTTTCTCATAAATTATAATGAATAGTGTGAACGAGCAGTAAATTATCTTGTCATTGTCGTATAATTTAATAATTATTTTCATTTATTTTTCTATCAATAGAACTACTTCTAAATGAAATTTGAGACACACAATTCAACGATTGTAAAAAAATGCATTTTCATTATCAAACTATAGTTCGAGATCTGAAAGCATTGTGTTTGTTCATAATATTTCTAACCATTTCATAATCGTTCAAAAAATATCTTTCAAACTTGCCTTAGTAAGTTATTTATTTGACAGGAAAAAATCAGTATAAAGTCGTTATTGAATTACACGTGATAGTAACCAATAGTTTGATCATCGTACGAAGATAAAAAAAAAGAGGCACAGTACGATAGAATAAGAGTACATTTATTTGTAAGATAAGAAATGAAACAGTCCATAATTTAAGTTTCTATTTTCTTTTTCATTCTCCTCAATCGAATACAATCTATATACAAGATGGCGCATAAATAACACGATGATAAGAAAGTAAAATATCTCCAGGTCGGCTAAGTCAAATGAACTGATTTTTTGGTTACTGATAAAACTTGACTTAAAGTTGTGTTCATACGAATTATATAAACAAAAATACTATTAATTATTATGGTTGTCCTCAACAAAGACAAAAAAAGCATAATTGAGAACATTCTTTCACGCATAAAAATTAAAAATATTATTACTGGATTTCTTCTTGTCATTTTCTCAGATAACAACTAAAGATTATCTATAAAATGCTTTACATATGTTTTTCTTTATTAAAGACAACCATAATCCGTATGAACAAAATTTCAAGTCAAGTTCTACCAATAACTTAAAAATCAATTGATTTTACTTTCTTATCGCTGTGTTATTTATGAACTACTCTGTATATGAAATTAACTATACCACTTTCCTGATATTACCTATTATAAATAATAAAATATAAATAGACAGATTACATTAAAAATAGTTTGTTTTTGCCAATATTCCAAATGTAATGATTTTTGCAGAATATATCATTCTATGTTGCTTCATAGATAAAAACGGATCATATAAAAGTATGTCAATATTTTTTCGTTCTCTAAAAATGCTAATTCCTTTGGATTTTTTCATACATTAAAGATAAGAAAGGGTGTTTGAAAAATACTTTTTTGTTGTTTTTACTTTCAAAGATATCACGTACAAGTAATAAATTTATAGTTCTTGTGCAAAGAGCATCATTAATCTAATGATTATTTGATAATATACAGTAAATATAAATGCAAATCATTATTGATTTAACACTTATTCAGATTACATAAGGATCTACTATTGATACCAAAACAAAATTGATATGCTGGGTAACTTAGTATGAATCAAGATCTGATTAACAACTGTTTCTGACAAAAAATGTATACTTCATACTAAGATAATTTATTGAGTTTTATTTTTAAAATGTGATAGTAAAGTATTTTCAGAAGAAAAGATGATAATGAATCAAAAATAAAATTATTGTATTTAATACAACCACCTTTGTTAAAAAAGATATATTTATATGTTGTTGCTATTAATCTTATCATTGATATTTCTTCTTTATCTTTGTTTATTTCAAGAACCTTAATATTTTAGCAAGTCACCTATCTATTTCAATTTTTTTCTAACATGAGTAAATATGATGTAGAATAACAAGGTTTACAACATCTTTTTGTTTAATGAGAACATTGGAGAACTGTAACACGTACCGATATCATGTGACTCATATATTTTCTTGACGCATTATTATTCTTTTTTGTCTATTTAAATATTTTACTATAGAAGAACACGTAGTGTAAGAATATAATAAAATTATCAATGAAGTGCCAACTGTGTGATAATAATACTTGGTCAATAGATTCCAATACTACATTATGCCCTACATGTAGACAAATTAATCGATCCGATTTATTTTCTAAAATATTGGCTACCCTATTAGATATGTACTCTACTAACAAAGAATTTGATGTAATAAAAGACAAATGTATACAGTTTAATAAAATTATTAAAAATTATCCTTTATTTATTACACCCTTTTGCACATTTGATCCTGATGAACATGATACAGATCGTATTGCACTTCCTTATCTTCGAACTTATGTAATATCTGAAGACAATAATATTCTTCAAAAACATCTTCCTGTTAAAATGGATACACCAAACGGTAGTTGTCTCTATAAAACTATTGCTATTCTCTGTCGATTAGACATTGAAGATGGAGCAAGAGAATTAAGAGTACGAAATGTAATCGATATGATAATCAATGCAGAAGTATATCATTCAGCTGATCCTGATTTACATTCTTGTTTACAATGGGGTGAAACATGGAAGTATTTTGTATTGGAACAATTACGAGAAACACAATCGGTTAGTATTCTCTTTTTCTTTTATCAATGAAAAAAATTTCGAACCATTTATTTTTTTTAGATGAGTAGTCTCAATGCTGTTTTAACACTCTGTATACATAGTCTTTCGAATATAATCAATATGAGAATTCGATCAGTCTATCCGAATGTACCCGGTGGCAATGATGATCTTCGAAAACGACTTGATCGAATATTTTCTCCACTAGAGACTCAATCAAATGAAATAATACTTTTGACAATAACCATATTATGGTCAAATACGAAACATATATCATCACATAGTACTAGTACAATGTGGATACCAGATACTGTAATACCACTTTTACCAAAACCAGATGTATGTAAATAAATGATATTCAATAAAATTATATATATAGACTTTCATATAGTGTTATACAAATGATATGTTGATTTCCCCAAGAGTAAACTCAGCTGCTTTACAAAATCCAGCAGGTATATCTAATTAAATTTAATATAATGTTATTATAATTTAACTTTTTTAGAACGAAGTTTTTATATACTTTCATGTTTTTGTCCTATAACACAAAGTGCATTAAATGAAGTTGTATCTTATTCTGAACAACAAAAACATTCCGAAGCAGAAATGAAAAAAGAAAATACAAAAGTATCTGAATTTCAATGTCCTAAGTGTTCGAATATATGTAATGATTATCGATTTGATTGGAGAGCAGTTACTCTATTTCGTCAGAATTTTAATGGTGCTCGTTTAACTTATATTCTCGTTGATATAACATCATCGATGACATTTAATCTTCTTAAAACTATCACTATTGATAAAAAATCTTCTTTACCACGAATTATTCAAACTAAAGAAGCTATAAAACAATTATTAAAAGAAATTGCTGCAGCAGCTGGTCCTTTAGATCAAGCTATTTTAACGACATTCGACGATAAACTTAAAAAACCTGCTCTAATTCCATTATGTGATGCTATTGATGTTGCTAATGTATCAAATTTAAATCGTATTGATGCAATTGAACTAAGTCCTCGATCAATACATACATATTTTTATACAGTTTTAAAAGAAGTCTATGAAATGTTTGAACGTCAACCATTTTTATATATTGATCTCTATATATTTTCTGATGGAATTGATACAAGTTCAAAAAAGAATGATAAAACATATCAAGCAATAATTCGTGGTTTAAATCAAAAAATTGGTGCAAAATGTCATTTTATGAATTGTGGTTCAGCATCTGAAGGATTTTCTGTCGCAGCTTGGTTAGGTGATGCCGATGTTGATTGTCCTTTATCAGGTGATATTGATGAAATTAAAACACAAGTTAAAGCTGTTTATAAAAAAGATCATGCAAGAAATGTTGATGTAACTTCGACGACTATTCGTTTTCGAGGAAAAACACTGGATGTACCTTTACCAAAGTTAACTACTTTTATGACTGATACAGAAGCTGCATCAATTCGTCTGTCACGTCAAAAACTTTCATCAAAAGATGAAGCTTCACTAACAAATACGACAAATCGACGTTCTAATCCAAATCTTATGCATATTGAAGATTATTTAGCTGCTTTACCACCACCACCAACACGTTCTCGTTCTGTTACAGCTACTGATTGTAGATCGAAATCACCAGAAATATTTAAGATTGTTACACGTAACTTGAGTGCTAAAAAACTTAATAAAGTTTAATTATTTTTTTCAATATATCATGTGTTTTTAGATAAATATTACAAGATTTAATATACTCTTATTTAGTTTAAAGGATATGTCGTTAAAATAAACTGTTTATTGTATTGAAGGGTGTGCGTGTGGATCACACTAAGCCATGAAAAATACTCACACCCACCCTAGTGTGAATGAAAATGAAGGTACAGATGGATCCACACTACCTACACCCTCATCCGCCCCTGAATCGTGCATGATTAAGTCTTTTTTTGTTTGTTAATGAGAAATGCAGTTTTTAAAACGTCAATTTCTGTCATCTACATAATAATCATATCTAGGTTTTCACTCAAAAGCTAATTTAAACATCTTTTAAATTTCATGTTTACTAATTAGTTATCAACATGCACGTTGTCAACTTGTGTAGTCCATCAAATATTTAATAATATGAAAAAAACCGTTTTCTTACTTGCAATTATCCAATAACAAACATGACTCAACACGTTTTTTTCCGTAAAAAGAAAGAAAAGAATTCTTTTTCCCGGAAAAGCTCGATGTCTGGCAACCATATAACAATATTTCATTATTTTATTTTTATCGTTCTTCATCCGTTGCTTTTCATAAAAACGTCATAAACAGTCAAAGAAAAAAACATTTCGCAAGGAATTAGACACCTACACAACCAAACCGGTTTTGATCACTACTTTGTAGTAAACTTTACACAGCCAATTAGATCGAAAGAATTCACACAGTCAATAATGTACAAGGGAAAATCAATAGCATCTAACAAATCTGATGGTGCAGAAAGTCGTCGACGTATCAATATTCAACACATGCAAAATGTTCTTGTAATCTGGTTAGACAGTAACATTGACGAAACAAATAATGATTGTCAAAATACAATCACAAAATTACGACGCGCTGTTAACGACATCAATACATATACAAATGGTGATCAATGCCATGAATTCATTCAAACCATCGTCGACAAACGAATATGTATGATTGTGTCCGGATCACTTGAGCAACATATTGTGCCTCGTGTGCACAATATGTCTCAAATTGATTCAATATTTATCTTTTGTAATAACCGAAAACATCATGAACAATGGACCAAAGATTGGCCCAAAATAAAGGGTGTCTTCACAGATATTACACCGATCTGTGAAGCACTTAAGAAAGCTGCTCATCAATGTGAACAAAATGCCATTCCGATGAGTTTCGTGGAAACAAATAAAAAGTTGGATCAATTAGATCCTTCTTTTATGTACACCCAAATCATCAAAGAAATTTTACTAACCATCAAGTTCAGTGAAAACCACATCCAAGACTATCTTAGTTACTGTCGAGATGCTTTTGATGGTAATAAAAAAGAAACTGAAAACGTTAAACGATTAAAAGGTGAATATCATAATAAAACACCAATTTATTGGTACACCTGTGACATGTTCTTGTATCCCATGCTCAATCGTGCATTACGATTGATGAATGGTGATATCATTACACGTATGGGTTTCTTCATTGGTGATTTGCATCGTCACATCGAACAACTCCACCAGGAACAATACGCTGGTACAACTGCTGCTGACACCTTCACCGTTTATCGTGGTCAAGGTTTATCTATAGAGGATTTTGAAAAAATGAGCAAAATCAAAGGTGGTCTTATTTCATTCAACAATTTCTTGTCTACAAGTAAAGATCGGAAGATATCACTGAGTTTTGCTCAACATGCTACAACAAATCCAGATCAAATAGGTGTCCTGTTTGTTATAAAGATTAATCCTGCCCAATCGACAACACCATTTGCTTCAATTGCTGGTATTAGCGACTTCCAAGGCGAAGAGGAAGTCTTGTTCTCGATGCATAGCGTGTTTCGTATCCAGAATATTAACCATATGGGCGAGAATAATCGTCTATATGAAGTTAATTTGGTACTAACTGCAGATAACGATCCAGAATTAAACAGACTTACTGATTACATTCGACAAGAGAGTTATCCAGAAGCTGAAGGATGGTACAGATTGGGTATGGTATTATGGAAAATGGGCCAAGTTGACAAGGCTGAAGAGATTTATCAAGTTTTACTTGATCAAACCAAAGATGATGAAAATAAGGCACCACTTTATCATCAACTTGGTGTGCTCAAGCGAAGTCAGGGAAAATATCAAGAGGCACTTACATTCTACGAAAAATCACTTACTATCAAACAAAAAAATCATTCTGATTTGGCTCCTTCCTACAACAACATTGGTGAAGTGCATAGAAACATGGGCAATTATCCTGAAGCACTTTCTTATTATGAAAAAGCCATTGAAATTTGGCAACAATCACTTCCTCCCAATCATTCGAATTTGGCTATGTCCTACAACAACATTGCTTTAGTGCATAACAGCATGGGTAATTATCCAGAGGCACTTTTATCTCATGAAAAAGCTCTTAAAATTCGACAACAATCACTTCCTCCCAATCATCCCGATTTGGCTACTTCCTACACCAACATTGGTGCAGTGCATTACAATATGGGTAATTATCCTGAGGCACTTTCTTATTACGAAAAAGCCCTTAAAATTCAACAGCAATCACTTCCTTCTAATCATCCTAATTTGGGTTATTCCTACAACAACATTGGTAATGTGCATTTTTGCATTGGTAATTATCCGAAAGCACTTTTATCTCTCGAAAAAGCCCTTGAAATCCAACAACAATCACTTCCTCCCGATCATCCTGATTTGGCTTATTCCTACGACAGCATTGGTTCGGTGTATGGAAACATGGGTAATTATTCGAAAGCCCGTACATTTTTTGAACATGCTGTACAAATTGCACAACAATCATTACCCTCAAATCACCCAAATCTTCAACGGTGGAGAGATAACCTCGAACGTGTAAAAAACAAATAATAAATTGTATTGCCATGAAGTTTGTGTTTATGATAGAGAAAAGATAAATTTTTTAAATAAGAAACGAATTTTTTGCATGCACGCGCGTACAGAGTAGCTCTGATCTTTCTGAGACACAAATAGGTGGTTACACCCATCGGTAAGGTAAATAATTCATATGTATTGAATACATAAATGGTTTCTATAGATATTAACATACGGTGAAAGAGATCAGTATGCTAATATAAATAGAAAAGACTTCCCAACTCAACTCAACTCAACTCAATTGAATAAAATGAACTAAGTATATATATAGTGTCATTATATATGATATACAATGAAGAAAAAGTCATTCAATACGATGATTTCATTCAAAGAAACAAATAATATTTTAAATAAATCAATGTTCTTTTATTGAACATAAAGTCAATATACATATATGACAAGATACAATTAAATGGTTCTGATTGAATAATATTCAAAGTCGGGCTTAATATTTACTAATCAATTGAGAATATTTAAACAAAATAGTATAACAGAATTTCAACGTGATCCCGTGGGATTCTATCGAATTTTGGGCTAATCCGACAACTTCCCACAGAAAACTAGGCAGGGATTCTTCGCTCTAGATAATCAAGATCTGATTAGAAAAGGTATCAGAAATTAGGTTTTATTGTAAATTATAATAACTGCTGTAAGTGTCTATTTTCTCTACAATATTTGTACCACAACTTTTTTTGTAATTCTAAATTCAAAAGAAATACGAGCTATAGAAGTTAAAAACTTGATTTTGATGTACTTGATCCTCCCTCTTTACTCTATTAGACATTATTTTAATTTGTTAAAATAATTGTTACAAGTATTTGTTTAATATAAAATTGATCAAAAATTTGAATAAAATAATTATATGCAAATAATGTATTTATCATATATAGATTTCAATAGAATACAAATATTGATTTGCATATTCTTCGATGCAAACTAGGGTATGATATATTCTGCATTTTAATAACATTTCAGTCACTTACTTATGTGATGTTTGCTGTATTATAAATCAAAACTTGAATATTTCAGATAAACTCTCTCACTAATTTTTGTCAGTATATTATTTTTCTATAAGTGTGCATGTGAGCGAGAAAGAGGAAAAAGAAAAAAAAATATTGACTGTTAAGACAAGAGCACACTCACACTTCGCGAGTAACGTCAACAAAGAAATAACAGTTTTCACTCTTCACAATAACAATAACAACAACTAAAAAGACGGAGAGGTGTACATGTTTGAAAGAATAGTATAGATATACACACGCACACGCACACGTACAAAAAAAAAGAATAGAATATCTATCTTGTGTCGTGTTTCTTTTTCTTCAAAATAAAACACATAAATAATAATAAGAATGATTGATAATCATTCCTTGATATATGTATATGTAAAACCCCCCAAGTGAAAAAGAAATACGACAAATATAAATAACAGTTATGTTCAACAAAAAAATTGAATAGAGCAAGAAGATAACGAATGTACGAGTATCATAAAACATTTTTTAAAGAAAAAAAAACAACAAATTTAATAATAGCGTCATACGTCCTCTTTCGTTCCCGGCGCTATTGTTGTTGTGGAAGTTTTAGTCTTTTTTTTCAGAGTTTTTTTTGGTTTTTTTACTTTAGCGGACACTTGTTGTTCGCCTACAAAAACAGTAAAACATTCAATTATATTTTATTTGATTTTGTTTTCGAAGAAAATCTTACCATCGGGTGTAGGTGAGACAGCTGATCCATTAGCTTGTGCATCATAAGTAGTCGAATTCGGCGTGATATTAGATGGGTCAACAATTTCAAAACTATTTGTATCACTACCAGCACCACTACCATTTGTCATTATATGTGGAATAGGTGATATCAATCCATGTGGACCACCCATTGGTGGCATTGGAAATCGTGCACCCATCATAAATGGATTTGGTGGTGGAGGAGGCATAAACGGTGGAGGAAAGAATGGAGGTCGTTGCATGGTAAATAGTGGTGGACCTAAATAGAAAACAGATTTCTACGAAAATGATAGATGAAAACAATTCTTACGAATTCTGAACATTTCAGATGGACTAGCAGCACCCGAGTCGTTACGTTCATGACCGATCGGTCTAAAACTATCGAATAGAGAAACATATATAGTTGTTCTTATTAAATAGATAAATGTCTTACTTTTCTCCTTGTTGATTTGGAATTGGTGGAGAGCTTCCATTAGTTTCTGGGTCACTTGATACTCGACCTTAAATTAATATAAACAACTCATTCATTGATTTTTCATCATATATACCAAATAGCAAACTTACCACCAGTATTATTAGATAGATGTTGTGGTACTGGTTTATACATTGTTTTCTCTTGTGATGAACGTTCACTGTTACCATATTTAGTTATTCTATAGATATATATACATACATACATACATATATAAATAATAATAACACAAAACATACTGTCTTCGAAGACCTTCACATTCTTTTCGCGCTCCATCAAGTTCTCGACCTAAGCGCTTTACTTCCATCCATTTTTCATGTGTTTCATGTTGTAGTTTACTACATTCTTCACTAAACTTCGTTTGTTCACTATTCAACACCTTTTGAACATCTTCTAATTGTTGTCTACAAATTCAAACAAACATTACTCTTTTTCTTTTATCTCTATGAAAAACAAATAGTCCTTACTCTTTTAATTGAAGTTGTTGTTGTAAAATACGAACACGCTCAGTATCTGTTCTTGCTTTTCGAAGTTCAGCATCAGTTTGTCCTAA